CTCCCGTGCAAGCTGTTGGTCAGATAGCCTAATTGCCTGACTGTCGCTAGAGCTTGGCCGGTGGCTCTCTGTGGTGCCAGTTGTCTCAGACCTGTGATCTCCTGTGTTGAAAAAAAAATTAAAAAAAAATGTGTCTACTCGTTCGTTATTTATTTTTGCGGTATGCCCAATTGTGCATGCAGATCCCGATGAGAGAGTTTAAGTAGTCCTAAAGTTGTCTCTCTGTCTAAAGCGAAGGCTGCTTGTTGCTGTTTTCTGAGATTTTATCGTTAAATCTGATAATGATCACTATCTGTGTGTCTGCTAGTTCTCCTACCAACTCCAATACTCTTGAGGCGACAGTTGTTTCCATGTTGATGCATTGAGAGCAGAAAACAAAAACAAATCCAGCTGAATTGGTTACTTAACCGTATTTCCTATCTGGATTGGTTGACGTATTGGTGAACTGGATGGTGTATCCGGCTGATTATCTCCTCTAAGATAATCATCTAAAAGTGATATAGAATCAGTGCTATTGGCCTATTGTGCCATCGTATGTCACGCAGCGCTCGCTCACAGTCTATTCCTCCTTTCCGTTGTAGCATGTGCTTCTCTTATCAGCGTTCATTAAAGGGTTTCTGTTAGTCGCCCTCGATTGTTCAGCAAACAGCAGTGTAACAGCATTGCACAAATAAAATCATAAACAGAACTGTACGCATGTACATACAAGGTCAGGAGAATTAAGTAATGAGACTGATGGCCAAGACACAATCTTATCTAAAGCAAAGCATGGAATCTAAAGAGGCAACATTCATCTATGATCTGGCAACTTTTCACCGCCGCTTGATAAGCAAACAACAAACACGCCGCCATTTTGTTGACCTTGTTAAGGTCAAGGGCATTGTTACAAAATCAACACGGAGCAAAAAGCTGACACTGAATTCTTTTTAAAACACAGGGGAAAAAACGCCATTGAAACAGTTGAACTGATGCAAAAAGTTTATGGGGATAATTGTTGATCTCGTGCACACATTTTCAGCTGGTATTCACGATTCACAAATGGTGTGGCAATGATTACTTATGCGCCTAGACCTGGATGCCAAATTTATGTTCGTAATGATGAACTAATTGCAATAGTCAGAGAACGGATACAAGAAGATCATTGGTTTACTGTGAGGATGATGGTAGATGAATCTGGTGTTAATAGAGAGACCATTCATAACATTTTAGTGTGAGAATTTAGCAAGTTGCCTGCTGGTTTGTACCACACTCGTTGTCTGAATAAAAACATCAGCGGGTTGAGTACCCAAGAGACACCATTAAAACACGAATTTGTGGTCCCAAAACAAGTGTGCGTTCTTAGTCTTCTACCGTTTTCCCCAGATTTGTCTGCCTGTGATTATTTTCTATTTCCAAAATTAAAGTTACGATTAAAAGGACGCCCCTGTGAGGATATTGATGACATCCAAAGAGCCGTAACATTTACTTTAAAGTCCATTACAACAGAACTACAGAGGTCGTTTCAGTGTTTGTTAGATCGTGTTACTTGCTGTATCAATGCACAAGGAGCTTACTTTAAATAAGATACAGGTTATATCTGCAACTGTTGATTATTACAATTGTTATGGAATTATTCTCATTACTTATTGTCGGACCTTGTAATTATGAAAGCTTACCTGAAGAATTGTAGTTTTACTGATATACACGCTCAGGTCGAAAATAGGTTCTAAATCCTGGCTAAACTGGCCCAATCCAATGTGGCCCTTGTTGGGCCCGACGTCCACCGTACTGATTAACTTGGAAGTAAAAGCTTTCATCCTGTTCCAGTCGGTCCGTGATGTATTGTAGGAGGAGTCAAACAGCAGGTAGACATTGTACTTGTAGTTGTCCCGACACTTCACTGTGATAAGAGTGCGATACTGGTAAGTTAGCATAACATTTACAACTGTTAGCGGAATATTTTCAATAGCATAATTATCACAACGGTTAGCATAACATTTACAACAGTTAGCATAACATTTACAATACTTTTCATAATAATCACAACAGTTAGCATAACATTTACAATACTTTTCATAATAATCACAACAGTTAGCATAACATTTATAATAGTTAGAATAATAATCACAACAGTTAGCATAACATTTATAATAGTTAGAATAATAATCACAACAGTTAGCATAACATTTATAATAGTTAGAATAATAATCACAACAGTTAGCATAACATTTACAATACTTTTCATAATAATCACAACGGTTAGCATAACATTTACAACAGTTAGCATAACATTTACAATACTTTTCATAATAATCACAACAGTTAGCATGACATTTACAATACTTTTCATAATAATCACAACAGTTAGCATAACATTTACAATACTTTTCATAATAATCACAACAGTTAGCATAACATTTACAATACTTTTCATAATAATCACAACAGTTAGCATAACATTTATAATAGTTAGAATAATAATCACAACGGTTAGCATAACATTTACAATACTTTTCATAATAATCACAACGGTTAGCATAACATTTACAACAGTTAGCATAACATTTACAATACTTTTCATAATAATCACAACAGTTAGCATAACATTTACAATACTTTTCATAATAATCACAACAGTTAGCATAACATTTATAATAGTTAGAATAATAATCACAACAGTTAGCATAACATTTATAATAGTTAGAATAATAATCACAACAGTTAGCATAACATTTATAATAGTTAGAATAATAATCACAACAGTTAGCATAACATTTACAATACTTTTCATAATAATCACAACGGTTAGCATAACATTTACAACAGTTAGCATAACATTTACAATACTTTTCATAATAATCACAACAGTTAGCATGACATTTACAATACTTTTCATAAAAAATCACAACAGTTAGCATAACATTTACAATACTTTTCATAATAATCACAACAGTTAGCATAACATTTACAATACTTTTCATAATAATCACAACAGTTAGCATAACATTTATAATAGTTAGAATAATAATCACAACGGTTAGCATAACATTTACAATACTTTTCATAATAATCACAACGGTTAGCATAACATTTACAACAGTTAGCATAACATTTACAATACTTTTCATAATAATCACAACAGTTAGCATGACATTTACAATACTTTTCATATTAATCACAACAGTTAGCATAACATTTACAATACTTTTCATAATAATCACAACAGTTAGCATAACATTTACAATACTTTTCATAATAATCACAACAGTTAGCATAACATTTATAATAGTTAGAATAATAATCACAACAGTTAGCATAACATTTACAATACTTTTCATAATAATCACAACGGTTAGCATAACATTTACAACAGTTAGCATAACATTTACAACGATCATAATTTAACTGGCACGAATCGCTAGATTATTGTATAGTTTTGTGATTGCAGCTTCTCTTCTCAATTTCCCTTCTTCTTGTTATCATCATCATTTTCTTACTCTACTGCTGCTATATAATAACAACCACATCTACTACTACTACTACTGCTGCTGCTACCACTACTACTGCTGCTGCTGCTCCTACTATTACTACTACTACTACTACTACTACTACTACTACTACTACTACTACTACTACTTCTACTACTACTACTACTACTGCTGCTGCTGCTGCTGCTGCTGCTACTACTACTACTACTACTACTACTACTACTACTACTACTACTACTACTACTACTACTACTACTACAACTACTATTACTACTACTACTTCTACCAGTGCGTCTGCTTCTTCTGCTTTTGCTACTTCTACTACTGCTGCCGCTACTGCTACAACTACTACTGCTGCAGCTACTTCTACTACTACTGTTGCTGCTGCAGCTACTGCTAAAAGAAAGCGTCAGGTCGATAAACAAGCGTCTTGCCATTGCGCCATCATGGCTTCCTTAATGATTATTTTTACCAAAACTATCCATCCATATATCTGCCCATTCATAAATCTGCCCATCCATATATCTGCCCATCCATATATCTGAACATTCGTAATTCTGCACATTCATAATTCTGCACATCCATATATCTGAACATCCATATATCTGAACATCCATATATCTGAACATCCATATATCTGAACATCCATATATCTGAACATCCATATATCTGAACATCCATAAACTGTGGTATTGCTTATGATGATGATGGTGGTGGCGGTGGTTTTAATGACAATGTTTGTAGATAGCAGTTGTCAGTGACAATGTTTGTAGATAGCAGTTGTCAGTGACAATGTTTGTAGATAGCAGTTGTCAGTGACAATGTTTGTAGATAGCAGTTGTCAGTGACAATGTTTGTAGATAGCAGTTGTCAGTGACAATGTTTGTAGATAGCAGTTGTCAATGACAATGTTTGTAGATAGCAGTTGTCAATGACAATGTTTGTAGATAGCAGTTGTCAGTGACAATGTTTGTAGATAGCAGTTGTCAGTGACAATGTTTGTAGATAGCAGTTGTCAGTGACAATGTTTGTAGATAGCAGTTGTCAATGACAATGTTTGTAGATAGCAATTGTCAATGACAATGTTTGTAGATATCAGTTGTCAGTGACAATGTTTGTAGATAGCAGTTGTCAGTGACAATGTTTGTAGATAGCAGTTGTCAATGACAATGTTTGTAGACAGCAGTTGTCAATGACAATGTTTGTAGATAGCAGTTGTCAGTGACAATGTTTGTAGATAGCAGCTGTCAATGACAATTTTTGTAGATAGCAGTTGTCAATGACAATGTTTGTAGATAGCAGTTGTCAGTGACAATGTTTGTAGATAGCAGTTGTCAGTGACAATGTTTGTAGATAGCAGTTGTCAGTGACAATGCAGATGATACTGTTGGTGGTAGTAGTGACAGTGGTATTGTCGGGTTCTGTGCTGAATGGATCACCTAGTGGGGGTGTCAGATTGCACATCAGTGTAAACTCACCTGCCACACTAAATGTGGCCATCAGGCCCAGGAGAAGCAGCCTCACGGTGCTCATGTCGATGGCGGTGTCCTGGTAACTGAAGAAAGTCGGATTTACCTGTTGATGATGTGTTCTAAGAAATTAACTGGTAACTGAAGAACGTCGGATTTACCTGTTGATGGTGTGTTCTAAGAAATTAACTGATAACTGAAGAACGTCGGATTTACCTGTTGATGGTGTGTTCTAAGAAATTAACTGGTAACTGAAGAACGTCGGACTTACCTGTTGATGGTGTGTTCTAAGAAATAAACTGGTAACTGAAGAACGTCGGATTTACCTGTTGATGGTGTGTTCTAAGAAATTAACTGGTAACTGAAGAACGTCGGATTTACCTGTTGATGGTGTGTTCTAAGAAATTAACTGGTAACTGAAGAACGTCGGATTTACCTGTTGATGATGTGTGTTCTAAGAAATTAACTGGTAACTGAAGAACGTCGGATTTACCTGTTGATGATGTGTGTTCTAAGAAATTAACTGGTAACAAGTAAAATGGAAAGTAATGAAAATCCGGTAAGATGCGAGACTTATGCAACTTGAAGCCTCTGCCAGATCTGGGTGCCACTAGAGACACGGGGGAAAGGTGAAACGCGCATTTAACCAACCAAATGATAACAGGCAGCTCCAGTATCTTCTCTGGTCGCATCGAAGGCAGACAGGGTTAATATGGTTTTGTTCTAAATATTGCTGTGATGTCGACACTTTACCAAGAAAAACCTGGAGGTGGAAGCAGGCGAGATATTGTTTTAAAAAGCTCAGCATGCGATGCACATCTTTTTTTTTTTTAAATTTTTCTGTGTGTGCAAAAGGCCGTTTGGTTTTCATCCAGGCTGCTAGGGTGTAAACAAAATAGGTATAGAAATGTCATCATCATCATGTAGCTGGTCTTTCACAGAAATCGGCTCTAACCACGGTCTGCTTGAAAGAAACGCGGTCTCTCGCCAGATCTCCTGCCTCATGCCCTTTTATATCTAAGATGTCAATTATTTGGCAGGTCTATCTCCGTGTTGGTCGGTCCCGGCCACTCGTTCCTGTCACCACACGTGTGGTATTATTGTTTCACATTTGTCGGGCCGCTCAAAATGACCAAAATAGTTCAGTTTCCGAGACAAAATGCTGTTTACCGGCCAATCTTCCTTGGTGTTCAGATTATTTTAGGATGTCTGTATTTCTCTTCTGTTTGGTCCAAGGTATTCTGAGGATTTTTTTTTTATATTGCATTTCAACTCTGAAGCCCATAGTGAAATATACTTACTCGTAATCACCTGACAAACACAAGAGGTGGCATACATTACCTGTCGCAAGACGAGCTGGGATTCCACGAAGTCTAGCAGCTTGTACTGGATCCAACCCTGCAGTAACGAGGCTAGTTCCTTTATATAATGTACCTACATTCTGATGACGTGGTTCGAGACGTCCATAATATTCTTTTTGATTTCATTAACCAGACAACTTAGATATCTGGGCAGCAGTTACTGCCTAGTTCACGGCTGTCAACTGTTATTGTCTGGGTTTCCCTTGTCACTTACCAGGAAGCAATAGATTCATAGCAGGTCGTTAATATTCCACAGCTCTTGATTAATAATGCCAAAATTACCATAGAAGCATATATATCATGCATATTCAAATTCTGCTGCAGGACACTGTCGTATTAATGAGAAGAGAGCGTTCCTTATCGTGGCTTGTCGCTGAATATTGTTTTGTGGGTTCTTTATAGTCAACAAAGCAGGCACGAGCACTTTATACAGAAACAATATAGTCAACGAAGCAGCCACACTGGCTATTGTATGCGATAAAGATCATTCCGGTAATTTATTAGAGATACAAAGACACACCCACACCCACATACTCACAGCACACACACACACACACACACACACACACACAGAGACAGACAAAGGCATTCGTTATCAGACTGTAGTTGGGTGTCTGTGAAGCCAAAGGTGGCTTATAGGCAGCATAAAACTGGCTTGAAAGGATCTAGTACAGTGGTGTGTTGGTCTGCGCGTGTGTGTCTGTGTGAGTGTTTGTGCATCTGTGAGTGTATTTGTATTATGTGTGTGTGCGATTATGTGTCTGTTTGTGTATGTGTCTGTCTGTGGCTGTGAGTGTCTGTGTGTGTGGCTTTGTGTGTATCTGTGTGTGTCTCTATCGGTGAGTCTATTATATAATGTTTGCGTGTCTCTGTTTGTGTCGGGTTATGCTTCTGCGTGTATGTCTGTGTGCGTGTGTGACTGTGTGCGTGTCTATGTGTCTATGTGTGAGTGTTTCCCTGCCTGCGTGTGTGTATATATTTGTGTGTTTGCCTGTGACTACATGTGTGTGTGTCTGTGTGGGTTTATGTCTTTGTGCGTCAGTGTGTGTTTTTGTATAGGTCTTTGTGTGCGCCTACTAGTGTGTATGTATGTGCGTGTGTATAGCTGTGTTTGTCTGTATGTGTCTGGGTTGTATGCGTGTGTGTTTTAGAGCGTTTCTGTGTGGGTGACTGTGGGTATGAGTGTGTGTGTGTCTATGTCTGTCTGTCTGTCTGTCTGTCTGTCTGTCTGTCTGTCTGTCTGTCTGTCTGTCTGTCTGTCTGTCTGTCTGTCTGTCTGTCTGTCTGTCTGTCTGTCTGTCTGTCTGTCTGTCTGTCTGTCTGTCTGTCTGTCTGTCTGTCTGTCTGTCTGTCTGTCTGTCTGTCTGGCAGTCTGTCTGTCTGTCTGTCTGTCTGTCTGTCTGTCTGTCTGTCTGTCTGTCTGTCTGTCTGTCTGTCTGTCTGTCTGTCTGTCTGTCTGTCTGTCTGTCTGTCTGTCTGTCTGTCTGTCTGTCTGTCTGTACGTATGTATGTATGTATTATTGTATTTATGTATGTATGTGTGTATGTGTGTGTATGTGTGTGTGCAAGTTCGTATGTATGTGGATGTATGTGTGTATTGGGTGCCTATGTGTGTGTATGTGTGTGTGTGTGTGTGCAAGTTCGTATGTATGTGGATGTATGTGTGTATTGGGTTCCTATGTGTGTGTGTAAGTTAGTTAATGGGTTTGCGTGTGTATATGGATGTGTGTTCGCACGCGATGTAATTCAACTGCTGTGTGAAAGATGGCGGTTTGGAAGATCCAAATGTAAGACAGGCCTGCGTGCCTAATTTGTAACCCTTTGAAAATAAAGTTCGTTCGTTCATTCGTTCGTTCTCAACCCTTCTAATGCCGCGACCCTTTAATACAGTTCCTCATGTTGAGGCGACCCCTTAACATACAATTATTTTTTGTCGCTACTTTAAAAATTCAATGAATGTGATTTGCGAAGGTCTTTGGAACTCCGGTGAAAGGGCCTTTAAGCAAACAAATGGTCCCGACCCGTAGGCGGAGAACCGCTGCTAGAGGACAGTGAGGGCAGGCAACAGTGTCTGGGGTTAACTCTTTGAGTCTCAGGGGCTTTAGAACATCACACCGGCCGCCTTTACTTTCCAGGACTGTACCTGGTACCTATTGAAGGCCAGGTCGACCTGGAGAGCAAGGGTCGTTTTTGAACTGAGTTCGGCTCCCTCAGGACCTTAACGCATGACTTTCGAATCATTAGCGAGCGTCTAGCCGCTACATCATTGCGGCTCCCGAACCTGACAGGAAATGGCGTCGGACGTAAAGGCGGCCGCATCACCCATTGAATGCCCGTTAGTATATAAAAATATGGATATAGCAGCCTCTACCCTTGACATCGCTGTCATGAACAATTGCTTTTCTTGTATCAGTCCAGGAGGAGAGGTGTGTGTATGGGGGAGGGGGTGTGGGTGGGAGAGGGTGTATGGGGGGGGGGAGAAGGGGTGTGGGTGAAAAGGGGGTGTGTGGGGGAAGGGTGTCTGTGGGGGGGGGGGGGGGAAGGGGTTGTGTGTGGGGGAGGGGTGTGTGGGTGTGTACAGATGTTTGTGTGTAAGTAGTGTGTGTGTGGGTTGGGGGGTGTATTGTGGGTGTGTGCTTGTGGGTGGGTGAAGGCGGGGCTGGTGGTACAGTTGAGAACGCAGGGTTGTCATGCTCCAGGCTGTCTGGGTTGGAATCCTCAACAATGTAAGGGGCTTTTTTTCCTATAAAATAAATTCTGCGACAACAAATCACGTGGCTCTAAGATCCCGCCGCCGCCTGCACTGCAATAGTGGTAAATACAGAGAGTAATGGAGGTTTGGCAGATGAGGGAACATGTTTCACCAGCACAGAATTGCTCAAACATCTTGTGAGAACTGACAATTTCTACTTAGATAGGGATTCAGACGGCAGGATCAAACTGTTGCCGGCGTTTTCCATGGCAAGGACTTCTGGTCAATATGGTGGATATAATATTTAGCGTAACTACTCAAGGCAAGCTTTAGCTTCTCACGCTCAGGGGCCGCTTTAGGCCAGTCGATAGGAGACTCGCTTTCAAATCCAGCTGCGACTCGCTGCAACCTACCGTCGGTGTTCGAAACCGGGTGGTTTCTGGAGTCCACCCAACCTCTAGGAAATGGGTAACAGAGTTAAAACTCTGGGGTAAATTGAGGAACGTCGCTGTAGCTACGGAGTATCATGCGGACTGCGACACAGGCGGACAGTTTCTTATCATCTGTCCCCACTAGTGGCTGAGCACTTATGGTTTATAACTGTTTGCAATGACACTGGTTTACATCTCCCTTTTTAACTTTTAGCTGTTTTTTTTAGCTTCTCACAGCAGTTAGCTGTTGCATTTTCTGTCATATGTAGACCGAAAAGATTTAGTTCCATCGCCCAGCTATTGAGTTGAGTGCGTCGCGCGGCACTGTAAGCTGTGGTTTTAATTGGGCATGCTGTTGGGCTGTGACTAATTTGGTTTGGGTTGTCAACTGTAGATTCAGAAAATATCGAGTGACCTGTTACCAGAAAACTGATGGTGAGTAATACCTGGTTGCTATGGCAAGAACAGGTATCCACAGACGACATGAGACACGTTTTTCTGTGGGGGCTGCAAAATGTGAAGAGCCCGATGCTGACCAAAGTCAGAAAAACACTTGTGGTGGTCAAAGTTGGATGCAGGC